AGAATTATGGAAAGCAGCACACCCTAAAGCCACACATGAAAATGCATTGATCACCACCAGAGCCCCAGTTTTCTGATGTCTCCTCACAACAACTTTAGGTAACAATCACCCACGTTTCTTCTGAAAGTCAGTCTTCTTCATAACAGCATAACATACATTGAAACACTCTTGGATGCACCTTACCTTACTTTTGTAATGAACTAGGGTATTTTAGATCAGCTATCCTTGTAGCTGACAGAAGTGAAGGTGTAGTTACCTTGCCTGAACTGACCTCTTACCTGCATTCATGGAAAACAAGGCCTTAATGTTGCTCATGCTGCGCCAGGCCCTATTCACTTCACTGGGTTCTATAAAATCACAGAGCCCATCTGTGCTGAGCTCATTGCAGAAACAACGCTTAGTATGTTAAGCTTGATCCTATCATCAAGTTTAATTAGAATCACTGGGACTTAGCATAGGTGTAAAGATCCATCACGATGATCCACTTGTAGGATCATAGCCTTAATGTAAAGGCACATAGCATTTTGTTATTACATCAAATAATCCAAGTTGATCTCCTTTAAACAAATATGGTCTGATCTTACAGCTGGTTCCGTACAGGTAGGGCACTTCATCTCCACAGACATTAACTGGCATAAGTCAGAGTTTCCCTCATAAGTGGAGAAGGGAAAAGAATATGAATGAACCTTCTTCCCCTCCAGCACTCTTTTCTCACTGACTGCTAGTCTTCCCAGGGTCCAAAATTAATAAATGATAGTAAGATAAGGTCTGTTGTACTCCACTCCTCCTGGCACCTGCCTGCTTTGCTGGGTGATAATATGCTTACATGTAGCCCTGGGTAATAGTACATAAATCCAGAAGACAATTTTTAACTATAAAGTGGGCAGCAACTGGTAGCAGAGCTACAATTACATCACAGTAATTTTCACTCAAAAGTTGTAAGATAAGCTACTTAATTAAAAGAGTATTAAAGGAATAGTTTAAAAAAAAATAAACTTGCAGGCACCAGAAGAGCTAAAAAAAAAAAAAAACTTCAAGTGATTTTAGTTTTCTGCTTAGGACGTGTTATCTTGTCCCCTTCACTGCCAGAGGTACATCAGTAACAGCCTCAGAGTTCTCATGCTTTTTTAAAAAAATATTGGAATTCCCTTTAAGAAATTACTCACCTTTCATTCAGATTAACTTCTAAGAAATACTGTGGTAGAAATGAGTTTTCAATACAGGAAACAACATCTCAAGTTAAACACAATCCAATTACATCTCTGAAACTCCCCCCTCCCCTTCACCGTTTGGCATTTTCATTACTAAACACCAGCCAGCTCTGGTCTAAAAAATATGATGATATTAAATTATTTTTTATCACAAATTTTAATCTAACCTAGACACATGTCACTCTAAATTTAATGCGGGGATTATTATCATTGGAAGCTCTTTGAAGCAAAGCATTCTCCTATCCCCACAGTGATCTGAGAAGCAAGACAGGAAGGTAAAAAGCTATTCCTCATTAATATACTATTCTTTAAACATCTCCAGGCTGCCAGGCTATTATTTAAAAAAAAAAAAAAAAAAAAGGCAAAGTTGTATACATTCTCCCATCTAATTTTTCCTATGCCTGACAGCTCCAGAACTTCACAGGAGCCAATCTAGAAGGCCAACTATGGGAATACAAAAGTAATGCTACCATGTCTACAAGTCAGGGAGAACACATGCTAACACTATTGAAAAGCTTTTTTTTTTTTTTAAACTAACATCAGGATCACATTTTACATATGACTCTTTATTTTTAAGCAAAAGAACTAAAGAGAAAATGTTATCCTAAAGTAGACTTGTACTGTGAATTTTAGCATTCCCACTTTACCAGTGAACAAAGGAAAATGATTTTCTTTAACAGGTATCAATATTACTTAAAAATTAAATAATCTTGTCCCCCAGTCCCTCCCCCATCAAAAAGCTCATTTATTTTTAGATCTTATTCTGTGCCTAAAAATTAGTGGGCTGCACTACAAGTGCTGTGCCCTCACTCACTAATACAGTGCAGGTGGAATGCTATGTAATTTCTTCCTTCCAAGAATTTCATTTAATGCCAACCCAAACACATCTATGCATGGCTGTCCCTCTAGAATACAACACTAATTTAAACAAGACAGATTACAACACTAATTTAAACAAGACAGATTAACCAGAAGGTTAAATGAAAACTTACTTCTTTCCTGGTAGAGTCTTGATGGCAGTAAACATAACATCATTATTATACCTGTTGGCTGTTCTTCACAAACCTTCCATCCTAATTTCTGTATGCATCACTCACTGAAGTCACACTCTTCCTTAGATAATGTATAGGACTAGCTAAACCTAATCCAAAAAATACCCTCGATTTTGCTTACAGTATCTTCGATATGTTACTAATTAGTTCCATAATATTCACAAAGATTCATAAGGCATGCTTTGTCAAACTAGAACACCAGAAGTCACAGTACTTTTCCATCTCTTTGGGACAAAGGCCTTAATAATACAACCTCAAGAAAATAAATAATTAAAGGCAACTTAGCTAATGGTACTGACATCCCTCTTATTTATTTTGCTTTTTTGGCATGTTAACTGAGTACAGGGGATGAACTAACAGAATAAGGGCTGAAGAAAAAGTATTCAGATATTTTAAGGCAAGGGCTGAACTCAGGATTCCATATAATGCTAAATTCATGGACTTACATACTTAACTACCTTCTATTTTGGGACTCACTTGGAATGTTCTCGTTTGCTCAGTATTTCACCGTCATAGTACTTAAACGTAGAGCTACAGTTGTTCAGCATTGCCTTGTGCTTTCCAAAATCTGTAAGAAGAATGATTTAATTATCAGGTATTTAGAACAGATAATGTTGCTCTTTCGAACTGGTTCCTCTTTTGATTCCTGTACCAACACACTTCTAACAAAGAATCTAGCACTTCAGGAAAATGAGAAAGCTTATAGTCCCTGTCTTGGCAGGGATAACAGTATTTCTAGTCTACACCCAATTGGCAGACTAAACTGAGCATGAACTAAATCAGCTGCCTGTTTTACACTGAATCTCAGAGCTTCGCTAACTCTGTGGACACCTGCTTATACAGCTACAAGTTTTCTTTAGGGCACTATCTGTGTTTGCCTCTGACCACAACTTGTAAATCATACACACCAGCACATGAACTCCTCCTCTGCAATAGGAGCATTCTAGTAGACAAGCTGCAGCAACGGAACATGTACATGATGACAAGTGTCATTAAATCACATAGTTTGTCATTAAATCACATAGTTTGGTCATTTCTGATTACTTCTATATACCCTTTAAACATCTGTTCTCAAAAATGGTTCAAGTTAACTTAAATACAATTTAGCATCACTCCAGTATGTTCAAAATGATAAATTATTGTATAAATATCTTGTCTTGCCTCCCCCACCTTGTCCAACAATGTGCCCCAATGTGCATCATGCTCCACAAGTAAAGCCAATTTACGCCTCTTGACTTCTGTCTGCTAAACTAAGACCACTTCATATAAATTACAGCAAAACTGTGCTAGCATAGATTTTACTGGATAATCTGAAACTCTGTCCACAGTAAAAATTGAGCCAGAATGTCTGGTGAAGGCAATATAAGTACGATTCCCCCACTTTTTCACAACTGAGTTATGTGAACAATTTCTGAAACTCTTCTTTATACCCAAGAAATGAGTTATGTACCTTGGGGCTTTCGATTACATAAAGATGTTTACATGATGCCCACAGACTCAGAAAAGAGACCCCCCCCCATGACCTTCCAAGATAGAATTCTTTCAGTACTTTAAAATAGCACATTAAATAAAAATCACTGAGGAGCCCAAAGCACACCTGAAGCACTTCTATTCACCACAGAAGGTGTACACCTCAACAATTTTATCCAGCTGCTAAGGCAATTCCGGATATCATCTACAATTTAGCCTGGGATGGTGCACCTTCATCTATGATATCTAGTGTGCTTTCCTCACTGGTTGCTCTCACGTACCAGTGTGACAGCAAACGATAACTAAAACCTTGCCTTAAAACTGTTACCCGTGATTTATGAACTTTCAATATTCTTTGTAAAACAGTGACTGTTAGACAAATGGCAGGTAAAGTTTTCCTCCTTCCTTCCCCTTTTCTTCTTAGCCTATAATTGTCTGGCCACTCAAAACAGAAATTAAAGCCGCTGGCTTCAAGCAAACTAAGCCTATATGCAAATTTGCATATGTGCAAGCTTATGAACCATATCAACATAGTTTTGTATGCATAAGTCAGTGGAAAAAATCTCATTTGTGTAAAGATGTGCATTGTCATTGTACAGCTATCTTAACATCTCTTTTATGTGAAATTAACTCCGTGAATATGTCCATAAGCTTCTCTTGTAACACACAATAGACAGACAGTACTGCAGGTTGTTGGGTTTGTTTGGTGTTCAACGATGGAAGTCTAAGAACATTTAAAATGTTAATTTCTTTGCTTTTTTCAAAAAAAAAAAAAGAAAAAATAAACTCCAAAATTTAACCAGCAGTTCTAGAGCACAGAGGCTATGGTTAGACCACAGCAATGCAGAGATGCACTACAACAAATAGAGCAAATATCAATGCTTGCAGGAAGATGTACCTAGCAAAAATGTCCCAGCTTGTGTGAGCCTGGCAGGAACTGCACAGACAAAAACAGTTTTAATTGCTTTCACGTAGCGTCCTGAATGAGCTCAATTAGCCTAATGCGACATCAGAAATTACGGTGGAATGGGAACGTGCGGGTGTGTACAGACCAGGCAGCAGTGTTCTTAAGGGCAGGTGAAAAAACACACAGGCAGGAAACTACGAGTAAATACTAGGGCCACACGCCGCCGGGGGTGGGGGGAGAGAGACCATTTCCTCACAGGCGCTCACTTTGAAGCTCTGAGACGCCCCGGCCCCCCAAGCACCCCCAGGGCAGCTCGGCCCATTCGACTACCGAGCACCGCCCTGCCAGCCCCTCACTCACCTTGACCTCCTGGGCCACCGCTGCAGCTCCCGGGGGCGGCAGGGGGCTGCCCCTACTCGCGGCGCCTGAGGCGAGCGAGCCCCGTCCTTCCCGAGCTAGCTGCCTAGGCTACAAGCGGCTGGAGGAGGCTCCCGCCGACCCGGGGGGTCTGCCACACGCACACCCCAGAGGAATCCCCACAGTATAGGGGAAACGGCGGGACACCGAGCTTCGCAAACGGGGCGGGAGCTGAGGGGGCTGAGGAGCTGGGGGTCTGGAGGGCTGAGGCACTGAGGGTGCTGATGGGCTGAGGGGCCGAGGGGGCTCAGGAGCCAGGGGGCAAGGGCGCCGAGGGGATCTGAGCGCGCTGAGGAGCTGAGGGGTTCTGAGGGGCTGAGCGGGCTGAGGGCGTGAGCAAGCTTAGAGCGCAGAGTAGGTTGAGGAGCCAAGGAAGCTCAGAGTGTGAGAGGGCTGAGGAGCTGAGGGCGCAAGCGGCCTCACAGCGCGGAGGGAGCTAAGGAGCCAAGGGGGCTGAGGGGGCTCAGAGCGCTGAGGGGGCTGGGAGCGCTGAGGGCGCCAAGGGCGTGAGGGGTTCAGAGGGGGCTGGAGGCGTCAAGGGTGCGAGGGGGCAGAGGGGGCTCAGGACATGAGCGGGCTCAGAGATCTGAGTAGGCTGAGGAGCTGAGGGGGCGGAAGCGGTGAGGTGGCCGAGGGAGCCGAGGGTGCAAGCGGGCTCACAGCGCTGAGGGAGCTGAGGAGCCGAGAAGGCTGAGGACACTGAGGGGGCTCAGAAGCCGAGGGGGCAAGGGCGCTGAGGGCGCCAACGGGGCTCGGGGGCCGAGGGGATCTGAGCGCGCTGAGGGGCCGAGGGGTTCTGAGGGGCCGAGGGGTTCTGAGGAGCTGAGGGCGCAAGCAGCCTCACAGCGCCAAGGGGGCTCAGAGCGGTGAGGGGGCTGAGGGCAAGAGGGGGCTGAGGGTGCAAGGGGTTCTGAGGGGGCTCAGAGCGCTGAGTAGGCTGAGGAGCCGAGGGGGCTGAAGCAGTGAGATGGCCGAGGGAGCAAGCGGGCTCACAGCGCCAAGGGGGCTGAGGGCACTGAGGGGGCTCAGGAGCTGAGGGGATCTGAGCGCGCTGAGGGGCCGAGGGGGCTCAGAGTGTGAGAGGGCTGAGGAGCCGAGGGAGCTGAGGGCACAAGTGGGCTGAGGACGCAAGCGGCCTCGCAGTGCCGAGGGGGCTGAGGGGATCTGAGTGCACTGAGGTGGCGAGGGGGCTGAGGAGCCAAGGGGGCTCAGAGCGCTGAGGGGGCTGAGGAGCCGAGGGCACAAGCGGCCTCACAGCGCCAAGGGAGTTAAGGACCCGAGGGGGCTGAGGGCGAGAGGGTCTGGGAGCACTGAGGGCGTCAAGGGCGTGAGGGATTCCGAGGGGGCTGGGGGTGCCTAGGGCATGAGGGGGCTCAGGGCTCGAGCAGGCTCAGAGATCTGAGTAGGCTCAGGAGCTGAGGGGGCTGAAGTGGTGAGGGAGCTGAGGGTGCAAGCAGGCTCACAGTGCTGAGGGAGCTGAGGAGCCAGGAGGGCTGAGGGCACTGAGGGGGCTAAGGAGCCAAGGGGACAAGGGCGCTGAGGGGGCCAACGGGACTCAGGAGCCAAGGGGGCTCGAAGGCCAAGGGGATCTGAGCGCGCTGGGGGGCCGAGGGCACAAGCGGGTTGAGGGTGCGAGTGGCCTCACAGTGCCGAGGGGGCTCAGAGCGATGAGGGGGCTGAGGGCAAGAAGGGTTCTGAGGGGGCTCAGAGCGCTGAGTAGGCTGAGGAGCCGAGGGGGCTGAAGCGGTGAGGCGGCCAAGGGAGCAAGCGTGCTCACAGCGCCAAGGGGGCTGAGGGCACTGAGGGGGCTCAGGAGCCGAAAGAATCTGAGAGCGCTGAGGGGCCGAGGGGTTCTGAGGGGCCGAGGGGGCTCAGAGTGTGAGGGCTGAGGAGCCAAGGGAGCTGAGGGCACAAGTGGGCTGAGGGCGCAAGCGGCCTCACAGCGCCAAGGGGGCTGAGGGGATCTGAGCGCACTGAGGTGGCAAGGGGGCTGAGGAGCCAACGGGGCTCAGAGTGCTGAGGGGGCTGAGGAGACGAGGCCACGAGTGGGCTGAGGGCACGAGTGGCCTCACAGCGCCGAGGGAGCTAAGGACCCAAGGGGGCTGAGGATGAGAGGGTCTGGGAGCACTGAGGGCGTCAAGGGCGTGAGGGATTCCGAGGGGGCTGGGGGCGCCGAGGGCGTGAGGGGGCTCGGGGCTCGAGCAGGCTCAGAGATCTGAGTAGGCTGAGGGGGCTGAAGTGGTGAGGGAGCTGAGGGTGCAAGCAGGCTCACAGCGCTGAGGGAGCTGAGGAGCCAAGAGGGCTGAGGGCACTGAGGGGGCTCAGGAGCCAAGGGGGCAAGGGCGCTGAGGGGGCCAACGGGACTCAGGAGCCGAGGGGGCTCGGAGGCCAAGGGGATCTGAGCGCGCTGAGGGGCCGAGGGGTTCTGAGGAGCCAAGGGGTTCTGGGGGGCCGAGGGCACGAGCGGGTTGAGGGCGCAAGTGGCCTCACAGTGCCGATGGGGCTCAGAGCGATGAGGGGGCTGAGGGCAAGAGGGGTTCTGAGGGGGCTCAGAGCGCTGAGTAGGCTGAGGAGCTGAGGGGGCTGAAGCGGTGAGGCGGCCGAGGGAGCAAGCATGCTCACAGCGCCAAGGGGGCTCAGGAGCCAAGGGGGCTGAGGGCACTGAGGGGTCTCAGGGGGATCTGAGAGCGCTGAGGGGCCGAGGGGTTCTGAGGGGCCGAGGGGGCTCAGAGTGTGAGGGCTGAGGAGCTGAGGGCACAAGTGGGCTGAGGGCGCAAGCGGCCTCACAGCGCCAAGGGGGCTGAGGGGATCTGAGCGCACTGAGGTGGCGAGGGGGCTGAGGAGCCAACGGGGCTCAGAGCGCTGAGGGGGCTGAGGAGACGAGGCCACGAGTGGGCTGAGGGCACGAGCGGCCTCACAGCGCCGAGGGAGCTAAGGAGCCAAGGGGGCTGAGGATGAGAGGGTCTGGGAGCACTGAGGGCGTCAAGGGCGTGAGGGGTTCCGAGGGGGCTGGGGGCGCCGAAGGCGTGAGGGGACCGAGGGGGCTCAGGGCGCGAGCAGGCTCAGAGATCTGAGTAGGCTCAGGAGCTGAGGGGGCTGAAGTGGTGAGGGAGCCGAGGGTGCAAGCGGGCTCACAGCGCTGAGGGAGCTGAGGAGCCAAGAGGGCTGAGGGCACTGAGGGGGCTCAGGAGCCAAGGGGGCAAGGGCGCTGAGGGGGCTCGGGGGCCAAGGGGATCTGAGCGTGCTGAGGGGCCGAGGGGTTCTGGGGAGACGAGGGGGCTCAGAGCGTGAGAGGGCTGGGGAGCCGAGGTAGCCGAGGGCGCAAGGGGGCTCAGAGTGATGAGGGGGCTGGGGGCGCTGAGAGCGCCGGGGGGAGCTGAGGAGCCGAGGGGGCTCAGAGCACTGAGGGGGTCAGGGGGCTTCGGGCGCCGAGAGCGCTGAAGGGACCGAGGGCAGGGGGCTGAGACGCGCCCCCCTCGACGGCCGCCGCCCGCTCGCGCCACTCATCCCGCAGGGGGGGGGCTGCGCGCGCCCCCAGCTCCCCGCAGAGAGCCCTTTCCGCCCCCCTGCCCTGCCCTCCCCGCCATCACGTGCTCCGGGAGCCGCAAAGCAGCGGCGCTTTTGCGACAGGGTGACAGCCAAATGGTGCGACATCGGCGGCGGCCGCAGGAGCAGCAGCAGCAGCCGCAGCGGTCCCGGCAGCAGCCCCAGCGCCAGCAGCAGCCGCGGCCGAGCGCCGCCAGGGCCGAGCGCCGCGGCAGGGCGGGGGAGCGCAGGGCGGCCCGGCGGGCAGCGCAGCGCCTCGGCGCGCCCCCCATGAGCGCTGAGGGGGCGGCAGCGGCCCCTCCCGCGCCCCCCCGTCTGGCTGCCTGAGCGCGGGGCGCTCCCCCCGCCCCCGATGCGCCCGTAGCGCCGGCCCCGGGCCCGCCTCCCTCGCTCCCCTCCCCGCCGGCAGCGGCAGCGGCCAGGTGCGGACTTCAAACCCCAGCGCGATGGCGTCCAACGCGGCCGAGAGGGAGATCCTCTTCACCGAGCTCCAGGTAAAGCCGCCGGGGTTGGGGGGGCAGGGGGGAGGCAGAGCCGGCCGAGGGGAAGGAGGGGAAGGGAAGGAGGCGGGGGCAGCCCGCGCCCACCCCGGGCCTCTTCCCGCCGCTCTCCCCTGGGAGCGGAGGCGCCGCCGCCCGGTCACGGCCCCACCCCGCTGCCGGCCGCGACCCGCTTTTGTCTGCCTGCCGCTGCTCCGGCCCTCCGGCACGGCTCGGCACGGCACGGCCCGGCCCGCAGCGCCCCCCGGCCGCAGGGGGCCGCCTCCCGCCGGGCAGCTCCGAGACCGCGGCCCCGCCGCCGCTGTGCAGGCCTCGAGCTCAGCGCCCGGCAGCAGGAGAAAACGGGCCCGCCGGCGGCGTCCGGCACAAGGCGAGGGGTTTGTCGCTGCTGGGGGGGGTGTATAAATGAAGGCCAGGGGACCCGGGGGCTGCGTGGTCGCGCTGCCCTGCCTGTCAGCTGCGGGCTCGGATACCACCCGGGAGCTCCGCTGCTGTGCCCTTATCTGTAAATGTCAGCTCAACCTGCCAGCTCTTCCGCTTCCTCGTCTGAAAGAAAGCTCCTTTTCCGTTTGTTTTTTTGTTTCGTTTTGTTCTTTTTTTTTTTTTTTTTTTTTTCATCTGTGCGAGTTTATGGTTAATCGGGCAAAGAATGCCTTTCTGAATTTATTCCTTGGACAATTAGCCAAACTAACAAGTCCATAAATGGAAAGCATTGAATTTAGCATTCAAATCGAAATTAGAACAGCGTGCTTAAAAAAGGAGGAATTTATTTCATAAACACCGTCAAATTTTCCTGTAGTTTTAAATGTCAGCGCTCAAGTAACAAAGGAAGAGAAGGCACAATAGAGGTGTAGCACTTCTTCAGATTGGAGCACATGAGATGGCTGAAGGCTAAGAATCCATCTAAAACGCTAAACTTTAATCAGTGGCTTGTAAGTGTCTAGGAAGAATCAGTATGTTAATACAAACTTGATACGATGATATATAAGCTGGTAAACCTGTTTGAAGTGGTAAGCTGCGTGAATAAGTAACTATGGTAGTGTTACAGGTGAGCTAAGTGGAAGCAGAAGTTCTGTAAGTAGCACTGAAGAGGAGTAGGGTTATCTAAACAGAAATTAGCTGTGTTTTTTCGTTTAGGGGGTTTGGAGGTTAACTTTTTATCTTTTTTTTTTTTTTTTGAAGATTGACTCATGATGCATATTTAAAAAATAAAAGAGAGTAGATCAGATCCTTTGGTTACCAAGTGTAACACAAGATAAGGTGCAACTTTTGTATCAGTACTTGTAGTCTTTGAGCAAAACAGAAAGGTCATGAAATTAACATGGAAACACCAGTGGGCCTTAAGTTTGTAAACTGTTATGTTCCGGTATTTTTTTTAGAGGAAGTTCCGTATCAGGATGAAATGTTTTAAAGGTATTGTTTTGATTTCAGTGGCAAATACTAGCAAAAATTGTGATATCATTTTCCTTTTTAATTTTTCAAAACATATTACTCTTCATATACCTATGTATAAAAGTTGCTTCAGTGGCATGTTACCAAAGTAAGGAGAACCATAGTGCAGCATGAAATACGCCATTTTACTAAAGTTTTTTTTTTTTTTCAGGAGAAAACTTCCTCAAACTAAAGGATGCTAACTTAAATAGTGTTCTTATTTAAAATAGGCTTTTACTTGCACATCGACCGCAATCTTATGTGGAAAGGGGAGGAAGTTATAAAATGCATAGCTACAGTACAAGTTGAAAGCCTCATGTAAGTGGGTTGATCTAGATCATGAACCATGTGTGGTTTAGATGTTTCGATAATACTCTGAAGACCTACTGAGAACAAGCTAAAAACAGTGTTAATCCCGGGCTTGATCCCGACTTTGAATCAAAAGTGAGTATCAGTCAGTGATAAACGTGGCATGTTGCTTATTGACACCATGTATTTCATATGTATTTGGTTATGATAGCCCTGAAAGCTCCAGTGTGATGCAAGTAGTTTCTGTGAGATGAAGTTAATAGACGTGTTTTGGTTCTTGTGAATCAGCTGGACTCCCTGGTATGAAGATTGGTAAACTTCCACAACAACTACTGACAGGATGAGAAGTGGGTTTGGGGGAAATACAGAAAACAGAAGGGCAAAATAGCTACCCACTGAGAAGAAAAAATGTGGTATATGCACTTGTTTCAATGCAAACTCCATTTAATTAAATGGGCCTTAAATAGATAGATTGCACTTCTCCTCACAATGACAGGTTTATATATATAAATGTATATAAATACTCCGTATCTGATGGAACAGTTTCTTAAAAACCTCTGCTGGCAAATGTCCACAAAGCATTTCTGTCCTGCTATTTCTGCAAGGCATTTTTTCCATTCTTCTATATCTCACTTAAACATTTCACAGACAGTAGGAACTATCTCCTGTTTCTAAGCAAGTTTTGACATAAGTTTGTTCAAGGCACAAAATGTAACACTTTTTCCTCAGTAATTACCAAACACGTAGTGCAAAATAAACTTGGCAGTAAACAAACACCCTTTTAGATGGTTTTGTTTAGTAGCTTCATCAGCAAAATTACCTGATTACCAAAGACTGAGAGCTTACATAAAGGCACCTTACCTTTTTACTTCCTTTTTATCTCCAGTACAGGTTCTTTTGTAGGAGGGGGAAGGAGCTTGGGTAAGAACCTGTATTGATGATGTTGTCTTCTCTTCCAAAACTCTGCTGTCCTTCTCTGAGCTTGCATCCTTTTAGAACTTTGTCCAGCAGGTAAACTGGCCTCTCAAATGCTTGCTTGCAGGTTAATTACGTAGCCTTTAACTCTTTGCTTTCTAGCGGAAGTGGTAACTCTGTTTCCTCATAAAATACAATTTCAACTAACAATGCCGTAGGTCCTTAAGGCAGATATGACATAAAATTTTTACAGTTTTAAATGAAAAATGCCTTCATTTTTTTTCAAAATCGGTTTTCCATTTCCAAAGATACGTGCTTTTTCTTAAGTGGTGATAGCTGTCAGCTGTCGGGTTGATATGGCCTGGGTAACAGAAGTTACTAAGCTATTCAAATGCATCTATTGTTTGTGACTGTGCTTCTAGGTGTTCTCTAATGCTACTTTTCAGGACAGAAATGTAAAGGTTTTCATTTTCAGACTTTTACTGTTGATGTTACAGGATATAAGAATTTTTTTTCATTAATTCAAAATTACGTTTCCAAAACAATTCCTGTGTCTTTTTTTTTTTAAGTATGTGATTTTGTAACTAAAATGAAATACTTGATTAAATAGAGAACTTGGGCTATACCATATAGCAAATACGAATGTAACAGCCTCACTTGCTTCCAATTGAAGTGTAAAATTTGAAAGAGTTTTTAAAACTCAGTCAAAAATAGGTATATCTAAAGATACAATATGTTTGCAAAAATGTCTTTATTTCTGGACTAGTCAGAATAAAGGGATTTTATTTTTTCCTCGCTGATATTTTGTTTTAATGGAAGCCCTACTCATCTAATCCATGATGATGCCGTAGCCAGAGCTCTTTGAACTATGTCACAACAGTCGTGTTCAAAGGCCATTGCTAACTTATTTTGTGTCTAAAGGAGTGATGAACAATACCATGACTGAAACAAAGGTAAAGTGAAGTTTACGCTTACTTGGATGGCACCTTCTGTATAGTTTTGACTGTTTGCTTTTATTTTTCCATTTCATATCCGTTACAAGAATATCCATAAAATGAACATGTTTGAAAAATACTTGATATTTTGTTAGCCTATTTGAAATAAATTGGACAGTTGAGCTTCAGAGTACACAGCCACGTTTTACATATAAATGTGCACAAAATGAGGGACTTGTACCTCGCCGCGTAGGACTAAACTACGAGTTGTAACTCTGAAGACCTGCATTTCCTTCCTGGCTGCTCTAGTCTCTGCTAGGTGACATTAGGCAGATGACTTTGCCTGCTCATGTCTCAATTTCCCCATCTTTGGAATAGAGATAATGATGCTTGCTTTTTTAGAGATAAAAATGTACTGGGTATTTATTATTAGCTGTGGTCAAGTGCCTAAGGACATTTTAAAAAGGTACAAGTAACCTAATTAATTTGTTTTGAACAGACATTATAATTAGGATGGATATTCAGCAGTAAGACTACCTTCAAATACTGTTCAGCTAGGACAGATTAGCCTCAGGTAATTTTGAATTATCTTGTTTCTTCAGAACAAGAAAATGTCACATTCAGGTGAAAATATCCTAAACCGTTCTATTGCAGTTTAGACATGAAAATGTGTGTACAGCTGCTTGAACTTCTCAGCTCCCTACAAATGCTTCCAGAACTAGTGGATTTAGGGAAGCACTTCAGTTTTTTTCCATTTGTGGATATATATTACTCTTTAAACAGTACTGTATTCAAAATCTGTATTAGTAAAATATACATCCTGTCCTCAATGGAACATAAACAGTCCTT